GAGTGACAGAAGGTATTATATAAATAGGCGAACCGTAGTTTAAGTCAGCAGTTCAATTTAAAATTGAACCCAGTATACATGATCGACAAAATCAGATCAGGTCCCGATTTATTAGAATTGGATGTTTAATCTAAGATCATCAATGGAGTTTCATCTGTTAACAAACAAGAAGACTTACTTTTCAGTTAAGAAAAATTTGTAAAATATATATGAGATATTGTAACTTTTAAATTGGCCAATAACTGCCGAATTCAGTTTTGCGATGGAATTGCCTATACTCGATCAAAATAATGAATGACTGCTGGATTGAAAGACAACGACTTCAAATGAATCAGTCAATGTCATTGATTATTCGAGTATCTCATCGGTTATTCAAACATTTTAACAAGATGATTGGCGTTGGAGGTAAAAACAGCTGCCGGAATAGTTAGGCGCGACCTGCGCAAGATGTAAATGTCCAATTATAATTTGCGTTGCCAGTTCCAACTGAATAAGTTTGGTAATACTCAATTAATTTTATTGTTGATTGATTCTGAAATTAACAACTGATATCCCAAACAAAAGTAAGATCTTCAGATAAAAGCATTGATTGCTTGAGAAAGAAAAAAAGACGTTAAGGTAATTTTTTATAACCTGCACCCAATTACGTTCCGAACACAATTATTCATGTTCGTCAAACAGATAAGTTTAAATATCGTTTAAAGGAAATGCAATTAAAAAGCATATGGTAGATATACAAATCGCTTTTCTAGGTTATAATTAAATCTCTGGTAAGGAATAGTTTTTTCGTTCTTATTTTTACGTAATTTTATGCAAATACTCTTATTTATATTAATATTTCGCATTATAGTTACATTTGAATTTAACGTGGCTTTTACTTTGTTTAACAGGACGGTAATGTCATGTGTCTTCATCAGGTTAGCATTTTTTAGATTAGAGTATTCTGGCTTTCAATAGTTAAGCAAGCGAAGGAAATGTCAACAAAACTGGACAAGGAAAGCTCTCATTAACACTAAGTACATGATGGGTTTATGCGTGAAAGATAACAAGTATTACGTGAAAGATAAAAACACTATTTAATTTTTGTAAATTTGTATGATGACGTCACATTTGGACTCTTAACAAACTGATGTTTCAAGCTACAAGCAACAAACAAAATATCCATTTAATAATGTGAACATTCCGGGCCTTCACACAAACATTACAGAAATTACATACGCTTTCAATGAGGTGCCCAGCCATCGAAAATGCTAACAGTGGCCATTTCTTCATCAGGGCATATCTTTTTTTGACCTCCTGCTTCAATGCAACGGACAGTATAACAGCCTTCACTCCTTGACATTCGTCTTCTTTCAGCCACAGAAAGACGAATATAATAAAAAAAATTACCTACAAGATTTTAAGTAATTCGTATCAACGTTCAAAATGAACTTGCTGAAAGTTCTCAGAATGCTACTGTCTTGCAAGACAGCTTAATTAGCAGAAGTTCAGACAGTCAATACCGATTATTTGTAACATATGATTGCCATCAGTGTTCCGCAGTGATTTTCAGCCACTTAAATTCAACTAGCGTTCAAAAATTTCCAATTGCATGATTAACTTTTGGAAGCCAATGTAATTCAAACTTCATAACAAGAAATATTTTTAAACTGAAATAATTAAAAGAAAATACTTTCTTTGAAATTCATGCCTGGTTATTTCATTAAATTTTTAAACTATAATACAATCATAATTGTTGAATTTACTATTCATGCTAATGGATGTGTAGAATATTAAAAAATTTCCCTGTACGCCATTAAAACTAATCCATATGCAAATAGGATATATTTATTACTAAGTCATAGAGATTTATACAACTTAAAAACGCGTTCCATCCGAATAATGATAAAATTTATATATAGTTACTTCTTCACTGGGTATAGTTAGTTATATAAAAATGACTTTTGTGAAAACAGTCAAGCAAAAATAAATAAATAAATAAATAAAAGATTCCTTTTGGGAAAAAGCATTTAATGCATTTTCTTTGTTGAAAATTACTATAATGGCATTCTTTAGTACATTATGAGATGCGCACTTCTAAACGTTTAGGACTGTGTTCTAATGAAGTCAATAATTGAAGAAAAGAATATTCTTATTTATTAGCCTGTATCAACTAAGCAACCAGAGGCCGAACGGTAAAGTCGCTGAACACTGGTAGTTCGGTGCGAGGTTCGAATTTTGCGAACGGGAGAGCTGCATGGACCTTTCCGTGGTTTTACCCTTATGTAATTTATACACGAGGCATTTCACTAAAAAAGCTTCTCCACGAAGGTATACAACCCTTTAGGCGAGATAGCCCTCGAATGCTTTGCCATAATCAAATAAATCAAACCTTCATGATCTAATCCTTGGCTGTCGGCAAAAACAACAAATAAATTTCGTATTTTGCAAATTATCGTATAAACATTTTATACTTCATACAAATCTTAATGAAATTTTAACAGTTTAGTGAATATACTACAGAAAATATAAAACAGCAAAAGCAGATGGAATTGAAGTTTATAAACTAAGGAAAGACAGGAAATTCTGGTACAAAGTTAATTTTCATATGAATTTTTAAATGTAAAATGTTCAAAATTAGAAAAATATTTCGGCTTAATAAAATTTAAGATTTAGCTATATGAATCTGCAAAAAATAAAAGACAATAAAAATGAAATAAATCTTTATTCTTCTTCCAATAAAATGCGAAGTTAGAAAAGGTTTAGGAAAGAATACCATCTTAAAAATAATATGAAAAAAGAATAAAAAATTTTATAACGGTTTCATTGTAATTATTATTTTCTTGTGTTAGTGTACACTACTAAATTATCAGTATTAGTAGAATTCTGAAAATGACACATATTTTCATGAAAAACATATTATATGAGAGATCAAATTTCAACCCCTATCATACAACTTTATTTTTGGAAAACAAAAGTATTAACTGATTCATTTTTAACTGCCTGAATTACGTAATATTGTTAAAAACCCTGTGATTTTTTTTTCAAATGATTTCAGCGATTTTCAAAAGTATTGATAACGACAGATTCTAATTTATTGTGAGAGTAAGTTTTATTATACAGTCAAAAGTCTTTAATCTGGACGTTCATAATCCGGACCTCAAAGCTACAAACTTTCTGCGCATACGTAAACGCATAATGCGTTTACGCATGCGCATAACACGTTTACGCATGCGCGTTTAATGTATAACGGACGGTATAAGCTAAGTTAAAATTATCTAATTATCTATTTCAGTTAATGTTGCAGATTGCGTTGTTCCTTAATCTTCTAATTGGATACGGTGTATTATTTTTTGCAGACTGTTAGAGCAATTTTACAAAAGTAAGCTTGAACTTTCGATTATGTCAAAAAGAATTTCCGATTCTGGAGCTGCCAAAGCATCTACAAAGCGAAAGCATGTTTCGATGTCCATCAAACAAAATGTGGAATTGCTGCAAAAAATGGATAAAGGCATATCCTTTGTTTCTCTAACCATTCCGAAATCTGTTTATCAATTTCACGCTGCTCTGCGGGGGAGAACACGTCGCAGCGCGCAATGTACTGGAAGTTGATCTGTCAGCACTATCCTTATCTTCAGGGCAGATGTTTTTATTTTATTCGGCTTATAATTTTTTACTAAATGTAGTATTTCATCTCTATGTACTCGATATGATTTAAATCAAATTCCTCGTCATTATAAATATCACGAATACGCATCAAATAGTTTCTGGTTGCAAATTTCTGATTTCGACTATGCGTAATGTATGCTTTACGCATGCGCGCGTTGAAAGAAATGTTTAATAAAGTAAACAAATAAATATTAAGCTTTTTTTTTTTTTTTTTTTTTTTTTTTTTTTTTGTAAATTTGGATACCCTTTAGATCATAATTGCTCTTATTTCATAAATTACGGTTTCATATTTTTAATTTTATAATCTGCATGCCATCTTACCAGATTTAAACTGATGATCTATAATCCGGAAAAACCGATAATCCGGAATCGCCGAAGTCCCGGCGAGTCCGGATTAAAGACTTTTGACTGTACTATCCAAATATATAACTGTAAGCACCTTATTTTGCTTTCTTGCTTAAATTACATACTTTCTGCAATATATTAATTTATATTTCTTGAATTCTACTGTTTTAACTGTGTTTTTTAAAGGTACTTTATTATGCGGTTCAGATAACAAACGTTCCGGTAGGAAGTTCGCGTTAAATGAAATCTTTCTTTTTTCTTTTCTTTTTTTTTCTTTTTTTGATTTAGAAGGAGATTTTAATTCTTGTTGGAATGCCATACACATTTCGTTTCCTCATATTATATGAAGGCATGTTTTGACAAGAGGAGACACAAATTCCTCTTTAACAGAAAAAATTTGGAGATCTGTTGATTATTTTTTTAAAGCTTGAAGCTTGCTGTCATAATATACCAGCTACGTACTTAAATATTACTTAAGGGGGCTTCAGTATTATTTATTAGCAATATATAACGTAATTTATCTCAATATGAATGTTGTGGATTTTTTGTTTGATAAGTTTTTCACAAAAAGGAAAGGAAAATAAATTTATAGCAATGAAAATATTGATTAATTATAGCCTGATATTAATGCGGACATTATGAATTATCCATTTATGAATAGTGCAAGAGAAAGTCACATACTGTCATCCGAGAAAAGCAGTAGCATTTACAATGCATTATCTCAACTTGAAACTGAGCTTTGATTTTAGGGCTGTTTGAATATTTTATGAATAATGGACTATAATAGAAAAAATAATGCAGAAAATATGTGTAACATTTTAAATTTGGATGTATGAAAATTAAAGTGCTTTCAAAAATCTGAATTTTGTCGTATGAAAACATCTATTGTATAGTCTTCTTGATTTGCAGCAGGTTTCTTAATTTTCACAGCAGGACATAAAAATAATTTTAATATCACAAAGAGAAATGATACTCAAGATAAATAAGGAAAATAAAATGATCACAAGGCCACTATATATATGCATTTATTTCTATATATAAACGAATATTTCAGAATTATGAAATAAAATAAACAAAGCGTGATATATCTGTAACTATATATTTTTCTGCATACATAATATGTTCGTGCTAACAATATTAGAGGAAGGAATGTTTTTATAACGAAATACTGTAATTTCAACACATTTCTCTTTCATTTGTTATGGTAATGTAATAGCATAATAATGACCTTTATGAATTTTAATAGTACATTTGTTAAGGAAAATATTAAATCATATTTCTGGTTTAAATGTTGAAAGATTATGATAAGGCATGGAAATATGGTATACTGCGTGATCTTCACGACTCTGGCTTGCGCGACAACCTGCTTATTTTTATTAAAAATTTTTTAAGGGTAAGGAATTTTCAAGTCAAGATTGGTGCTGTTTTATCAGACGTCTTTTTACAAGAAGAGGGTGTGCCTCAGCGTTACTTTGTTCACATTAAAAATCAACTCTGTCTTAAATCAACTTCCTCCCACTGTTTCAGGATCGTATTATGTTGATTATTTGCAGATTAGTTGTCATGGGGCAGACATGAAACATGTAGAAAGGCAACTACAGATATCTCTGAACCGAATTCAAGACTGGTCAAACAAACAAGGATTTTTGTTTGTTTGACACAACAAACAAAAATCCTTGTTTGTTTGACACCGACCGTATGCGTGCACTTCTGCAGGAAGCGAGGTCTCCATCCTGAGCCTGAATTCATGAATCAGTGATTCCAGTACAACCTGAAGTAAAGTTTTTGCGAGTTATTTGTTCGACCGAAAACTTATCTTCCTCTCTCATGTGTTACATCAGCGGAAGAAGTGTACCAAAATATTAAATCTTCTAAAAGTCTTGTCGAATACCTCCTGGGGCGCAGAGTGCTGGTCTTTATTTCCCGTTTACAGAGCACTTGTCCGTTTGTAGACTAGACTATGCCTCAGTTGTTTATGAATCTGCACGGCCGTCAGTTTTGCAGAAACTAGACCCAGTTCATCATCAGGCACTGAGGTTTTGTTCTAGGGCATTTAGGACATCTCCAATCCAGAGCCTGTATGTTAATTGTTATGAACCAACCCTCCATTTGCAGCGTGAGCAGCTGTCTCTTCTACAGTATTTTAATATATTGTCTCAACCTGACCATCCTAGTAAGCTATGTGTGCTTGGTGACATCTTCTCTTTCAAGCACGACGATCTTGTGTTCCTTCCTTTTCCTTAAGAGTTCGATCTTTGATCGAAGAGTCATAGCTGATATAACCACTCAAACAGTATATTATATTGAAATCCAACCTTGGGAAAATGCGAAAATCAAGCTTCTTAATGTTTTCCAGCGCCACAATAAGCGAACCACTTGCGAGATCGTATATAAGCAACTCTTCTTCGAACACAGATATGAATATAGCGATCATGTGGCCGTATATACAGATAGATCAAAAAGACCATGTTGGAGCAGGATTTGTAATAGATGACCACACTGAGGACGGACGTTTGCACTACGCTTGCTCAGTCTTGACATCTAAGCTGACCGCTATATATTATGCGCTTTTTCACATATCAAAGCTAAGCCATAAAAAGTTCATTATTTATACAGATTCGTACAGTGCATTGAAAGCTTTAGAAACTTTTTCCAACGCTTTCAATCTTGTAGTTGTTGATTAAATCGAAGCTTACAGTTTCGTGGATATCAAGTTCTGTGAGCTCGCAGATATCACAGCTAAGTCTGCTGTTAATCTGTGCAGCCAGCATATTCCTCTGACCGATATTAAAAGGATTATCAAGGGAAAAGTCCTAGAGAAGTGGCAGCTGCTATGGGATGCTCATGTTAATAATAAGCTTAAAACCATGAAACTTCTAGTTAAAGACTGGAACTCAATAGGAAACCGAAGGGAGGATGTAATTCTAACCCGTCTGCGTATTGGTCATTCTCATATAACACATAGCTACCTTTTGAAGGCCGAGAGCGAACCTCTTTGTTCCCACTGTGATAGTATTCTTTCAGTTCGTCATATTTTAATTGAATGTCCGTATTTTAACTCACTTAGATTGAAATATTTTAATAACTCTGACTTGCCTCTTGAACATATAATCGGGAAAGTGGCCAATGCTAATTTATTTCCATACCTCAAGGAGAGTGGTTTTTGTTATTTAATTTGATTTTTTGAATGTGTCTGGGGATTTTAGTGATATAAATTTTATTGTATCTCATATTTTATGATTTCACACTTGCATCACATCGTATATTATTACCCAATTCATGAGTTACTTTATCATTATTTTTATTACCTCTTTTTATTTTAGAAGTCTACTCTTGTTTCAAACTTGTGATTGCATAGAATTAATGTGTGGATTGAACTGTAACTTGTTTCGAACTATCATGTGTCTGGCGCAAATAATCTATCCAGGTTGTGCGCCGTAATATTTACCATTACCATTACCATTAGCTTATGATTATCTTGCGTTATGAAACAGCAGCAGATAACCTGTCTATCAGAAGTCTTCTTATGTCATTAGCGACATTAAAAAAAATTCATTGGTGTACATCAGCAGAATTGGATAATGTGTTGACCAATATCAGAGTGTAAAAGCTGACGTCCATGATCAAAATAAGATGCATTTCCAATTCATTAATCTTCACAGATTTCTGAAAATACAGAGAAGATGAACAACAGATAATGAGTAGCTACGATTTCTGACTGATGCAAGATTTTATGTTTTTATATTATAAATAGACAATTTTTAATTCAGTATTAGAATGTTTTTAGAATTAAAGTAACTTTAAAAGATTCCTTTTTTAAAGAAAGTTGGTAAACTATACATTCTGTTTTCCTATTACAGGTATTGAATTTCTTCAACTATAATAATCCCAACTTCTTGTTCAGCATGATAATGTAAAATTAATTAATTTATCATTTCTGTGGTATACTCCGGGTTCATTAAGAAACGACAATACTGTAGACAGTTTGAAATCCATAGCTGAACATTGTTTTAATATTATCAGCAGATCTGTAAATCTGGAAAAGAAAAATAAATTACTAATTATAATTTCTTAAAATTTAGTATACTTTTTTAAAAATTCAATTATTAATTTAAAACACTTAATTTCGGAAGTTTTGTTGAAAATTCAATAAATATTCCTACATATAAAATAAAGTACTTTTACGTGTAGAGAAAATAAACTCTTAAATATAAAGATTATGCCATTTAATAACGGTAGTAAAATTTCAAATTTTAAATTGCTTCAAATAAAAGGCAATGTTCTTATAATTTTAGGCAGTGTTTTAGTAACATTACAGAGCATTTTATGTCAAACAAAACAGGAAATAGACTGTTATGTGATCAAAACACTGCTTGAAATTCTCATAACATTACCACGCAGGTAGATCAGGAAAACTAGAATTCTAAAAAAAATCTATTTGGTTCATTATGTTATTAATTTCAAGATTTAACTAAACATTCCATTAAAAGTCAGTCTTCGCCCAGGTGGCAAATTTAATAACTGAAATATTGGTCATCCCAAAAGTTGTGCCGTTTCTCATAGTGAAGTGTCTTTGCTTGTAATTAGTTTGTTACTGCTGATACGTGACTGAAGGTGATGTTTAAGTACGGTCTTTTCTGCTAATGTTGACTGCAATGTTGTTGCAAAATAGTTTGAGATGTTTGAGCGTGGAAATATTGTCTGCTCGGATGACGATCCTCTGTAAATAAGTGCCTGTTAAAAGGAACTCACATTGAAAATCCACGTTAAACAGTTCAGGAACTATCAATTCTAAAACGTACATATATATTATATTCTAAATATTCTAAAACACACAGTACTTGATCATTTGAAGAAAGCTGGATATGTAAATTGCTTCGGAGTATGTATACCTCATACTAAGCAGAATGCGTTTGCACGAGTTTTGGCATGTCATTCTTTGCTGAAGAAAAAATAAAGAAGCTCCTCTTTTGAAGCTGCTCATTACTGGATATCAGAAGTGGGCACTACACAATAATGTTAAAAAAAAAAAAAAAAAAAAAAAAAAAAATCATAGCCTAAGATGAAAGAACCTTCTTTAGTAATACCAAGAGGTTATATGCATCCCAAAAACGTAATGTTTTGTGTATGGTGCAACTACAAAGGAATTCTAACCTGTAAATAGTTGCTACCAAATCAGACAATAAATTCGGAAAATTACTGTTCTCAGATAGCAAATAGAAAACAGAAATCCAAACAACACTTCAACACTTCCAGAACTGACCAATCGTCGAATAGTTATTTTGCATCATGACAATGCTCAGCCTCACGGTTCGATGAATATCAGACAAAGGTCGATGGAATGTGGCTGAGATGGTTTTTGACAACACTCACTCCATATTCATCAGAAATCTCCCTCTCAAATTTTCACTTCTTGAGATCATTTTAAAATTCTCTAAATGGTGTGGAGACTGTCAAACAGTCTGTAATGAACCTCTTCGAAAATAAATCTAATGACTTTATAAACACATTAGGTTATTTCGAAGCCAGAGAGATGAAAAATGAGCAACGCCTTCGCCGGAAATCGAACCTTGGACCTCTAGAATATGCACCCAGCGTACAGACCACTACACCACGAATGCACGATAAGAAGGCGGGAGAAATACCTTTCAAAGGGCGACTGGGGTTTTTAGGGGACCCATTCGCCAAATCCTGGATGTGGAGAATCATCATCCACCACCCTTTTAGTTCGAGCGCCACTGTAGAGATATTAGGTATTTTTTTGGAAGCAAAAGTCAGAAATGGTAAAATCTCAGAGAATAAAATGGTGACTTATGTGGTTTAATGAAAGTTTCTTATGCTTCTGCACTGCTTCATTTGTATTTATAATTTAAAAGCTACAAAATTTGGGTTACCCAATATATTCTTCATCTTTTTATATTAGTTTTTCGGTTACAAATAAATAAAGTTCACAGATTTTTCGACTTGTAATTTTAGTCAGCATGTTAAAACGCTATTCGAAATCAGTTCAATCTACTTTTAAAAGAATAATTTGTGCCATAAAAATTCTGTATGAATATTTTAAATATTTAATATCAAATGTGAAACTACCTGCAAGAGAGTTTCTACCAGTATCTCTGATTCTACATGATCTACCTTTACAATTCCGATT